ATCTATTCTTCCTCGTCCATTGACACCATGACTGAAATTGTGAAAAATTAAGGAATTTGTCACAAGCAAATTAAAATCAGGTCCAGTGTGGCTGCAGGAGGGCCTGGAGATTTCCTCGTGGGCCGCTCTGATATGTGGGCTGCAGGGCCAGCGCTCCCTGTTTTTTTTTTTTTACTTTTTATTAACAACATATAAACACAGAACACCGCTGCAGCTGGGCTACCACCAGCTCGTTTTCTTATTTTTTTGTGACCAGTCAATCACTCCAGTAGGCGTGTCATCAAATGACCAATCGGCGAACTCAATTTGTCCCGAAGGTAAACATCCCTTGTCTGCGGAGTTGGGCTGCAGTCGCTCAGGGTGAATGTTCAAGTATAAAGTCTCAACGCTCTGCGGTCAGTGCGCACAGTTTCCACATGGACTGAGGTCCGCTCGAGTCTGTGCGAGCCTTTATTTTGAAAAAACGCAAAAGAGCAAGTCTGTAAAAGTCGAACAGCGAAGTAGCTCCTGTATATCGTTTCTGTCCAAAAACAGCTCGAGTCTCATTTGAGTCATTGAAGTTTTTCCAAATGCTGTTTTATAAACTTCAACATTGCCACCAGTTATGTATTGCATGGCTATTTTGGCAAAAAGTATTATGATTTTCCTGCAGCCAATGCATCAGGCTGTCACAAAAGTGATACAGCTAGCTTTGTTTGAACTTTGTGCTTGCAAACAACTATAGAGCTCTATGTAAACAAAACTGCAACACTTGCATTACATGGCAATATTTACATGCAGCACTACAAAACATTTAAAATTGAAGATGTTTTAAGATGCCAGTAATCCACATTGGTTTTGACCCTGCTCAGGCTAGCCAGGTAAGATAATAATTGTTCATAACCTTGCCGCAGAATCTCACTTCCAAAAAGCTTAACTTAAGAAATAAGTGGGCAAAACAAAAACAAGCAGAAACGTCCTCCTTGCTGTCATGGTGGCCAGCTTTAAGCAGGCGTGTATAACCAATTTCTCTTACATTGTTTCACTTTATGGTCAAATTCTCTCATATCAAATTGCTCACTGATACAAATGCTACCTGAAAATAAGGCTTTTCCAAAACACACTCATATTTCAGCGCTCATAACGCCTTGCCCTGAGTCATCCAGCCTGGAAATTGCCCATGGAGAATTTGTGTTCGTCTGGATATTATTCGTGCCACATCCTATCCCTGCTTTTGTGAAAACTCTCATCCCTGAATGGCCAATTTCCCTCTTCCAGATTCTGACATTTCAGCTATCACACTGCCTTCGGTCATAGGGAAAAAAAATAAAAAATCAAGCCCACCCCCATCTTCAAATGCTGTCAGGCGAGAATCTGCTCCTGATACCCCCTACCACCATCAACACCTCCTCTGCTATACACTCCATCCCCAGCGGCAACATTATGCTGTCCTTGATGTTTTATCATTAGCTTGGGAGTGTGTGATCCCCCACTGCTGTCTTTTGATGGAGTGCAGACAGTAAAGGCATGGAAACAGCCAGCCAATTTCCCTTGCTGCAGTTCTCCCACAGCAAGGGGTCGGGCGATCTTCCCCCTGTGCCAGAGCCCGGCAAATATTCCCCTGATGAGCAGAGCTTTCAGCTCTCCTTAGTACTGTTGCATACCTGCATTGCCCTTCATTTTGTAATTTTGGTTATTTTGTTGGGAGTTAGTGACAGGCCCAATAAGAGGCTGCTGTGGGCTCTGCTGCGATGCAGCAGGAAAATAAAGTTATTTAATTATTACAGTAGTCTGGCTTTGTGGAATGTAGCGATCGTTTTTTCCATCAACGTCAGATATTATGATATTATTATGACAGATGTTAAACTACTAATTGCAAACTATTAAAAAATGTGTAGCACATTAACTTCACAAGGTAAAAAAATTAAAATTATTATTTTTTTATATTTTTTTTTATGTTGGATTATGAATGAGATATGTGCTTTATTGGTCCAGTTCTTCAGAACCTAATCTTGTGCATAGATACAAACATTCACAAAGCTCTGATCGTAAACACAGAACGCTATGACAAGCACATGTTAGCACGACCGTCACGGAGCGAAGAGAGGGAATTGGAAATACCCTTCATCTGTTAGTCCACATGTGTCAAACTCAAGGCCCAGGGCCAAATGTGGCCCTTGTTGACATCTCATCTGGCCCCCAAGATGACATTTTAAACGTAAAATACTTTTTTCACTTGAATTTTTCAGTAATCTTTGATTAACATGTCAAAAGTGCAACAGATAACGTCAAATGAGACCAGTCAAACTCCTTGAGGAACCTGCAACCAAGAAAAGATGTTGGGTATCTAACAAGTTAATGTAGATTCTGAAACTGGCCCTTAGTTTGAAAAAAGGTTTAATTTTGGCCCCTACTTGTAAGTGTGAAGTTTTTGGTGGGGAAATAAAAAAAATACAGAGGTTGAAACTTGTAAGTACACAGTGTATGGTGGACACATGTGGACTGGAGATCCAGGGCTTTTCAAGAACAGTGTTGTAACAGCTTATTTTACTCTTCTTCACTATGACTTCAAAACAACACTCAGTCTTGCTTCATTTCAACCCTGTTGCTGTTTAATTTTAATGGTGAGCTGAAATGGTTAAGAAGAAAGTGTGCACGGTATCAAAATGATGAAAAAAGCCATGAAGCGCAGTATTGTCAGTGTTTTTGTTTGAATGTGTGGACCTGTGGTGGGCATAGTTAACCATAAAGTTACTTTTGCTAACACATATTCTGCAAATGAAAAAATTTGCTTCGCCAACGCTAAACCACTAAACCGGTAAAAGAATAAATAAATTGAGGAATCGAACACTAAACTGCTAACAGCTAAGACGACTGTCACTTAATCTGTATCACGTCTTCATCTTGTTCCAGTTGAAGCTGCGTCGATCAATCACGTCTTGTCACTCGGTTTAAAACTCGGGGTGACCTATCCTTTCAGCCCGTAGCCCCCAGGCTGTGGAATGCCCTGCCCCTGTCTCTTCGTGTGGCCGCCTCCATTGATTCCTTTAAAAAGCAGCTTAAGACATTTTTATTCAGACAAGCTTTTAGTTAAATGTTTTATTTATGGTTTTTATCAGCTATTCTTCCTGTTTTTTTATTTTTAATCCTGTAGCTGTATTTCTGCAAAGCACTTTGTGATTTTATCTATGAAATGAAATGTGCTATATAAAGAAAGTTTACCTACTCACTTACTTACGTGTACATGTAGTAAGCCAAATATAAGTAAATAAGAGAGATGACGTGAATTTCAAAGAAATATAGCAAAGTTAAAATTTGGCCTGAATAAATTGTTCTAATGGTTTGGTACTGAATCCTTAAATATAATTACTGCTAAGTCCTACCACTGGTAGAATACACAAAGTTTTATGGTTAAGTGACAGAAATAGAACCAGATATGACTTAAATCTGAGCCAATAAAAAGAAAGTAGAGCACTTATTTGACTACTAGTCTCTTAAACTTGCTTTAGAATTAATTTATGCACTTTCAGGAAACACGTGGAAATTGACTCATTCTCCTGGGTGGACCACAAGCTTTTCTGTGGCGTCAGGCTGCTTCGTTTCCACAGGATAAACCATTTTATCCTCAAAATTTCCATAAGACTGCATATGATGTTCACTTTTATTGTTTGGCTCAATACCAAACACCTGAAAAACAATAAGTAATGAAAATAGTGACATTTCAGAGGCCTTTTGACTTCATGTGCAGAAAGAGTAAATGTTAACAAGTATTGTAAACTAAATGATACCAGGGTGATAAAACGTAACTTGCTGTGGCTGTTTGTTACCATGCTATTGTTGGTTTTTACATTACAGCACTGTTGTTGCATATTTTCTTTAATTGGCTAATAAAACAAATATCAGTTGCAACATTAACATTAAAGCAGAATGAGTGTTTCCTGTTATCACTCTTATTCTTTAAACTGAAACACAGACATGCATTCCCAGAGACAGAAATCTCAGAACGCCTACCTTTGTTCTGATCTTGTGTCCTGCCTGAAATTGTTCTTGTTATTGGACTTTACTGGTGTGCTAACCTTCTGCAGAGGGCTTGTTGCTTAAAAGAATATGGACAGCAAAACTGCATATCCATATTTGTTAAACTTTTGCAACAAAAAATGCACTTTTCATTGCCTGGTTTGTGGGTTTGTTTGTTTTTTTTGGCCACTAACTGGATACATTGTCCTAAAAATAGAAGCATGTGTAAAAATACAGAGTTAATATTCTTTCATTTCAGCTAATGTATTATTAATAGAAGCAAAATCAACAATTATGTGAGTTTTTTCAACGTCAAAACTTGTTTAATAGAGTTTTGTACAAAACAAAATTGCAATCTAGAAAGCAAAGCTGCAGTTTAGAGTCGTTCGTCTTCACTACTTTCTAAATCCCTTAAAATACAGAACTTTTTATCCCTCCTAATCTGCATGTCAGATTTCATGCATTTCGAGGCTCCCCAAAAAAGCAATTCATTTGAAATAAGAAGACTAAAAAAGCAAACATTTGCATTTCAATAGGCCTTCACGTTGCCCTTGGTGCCAAAATCACCTGTTTTGCGAATTTTAGAAAGAAAAAGCTATTTTGATCAGCATTTTTATGCCTTTCAATCAGATGTACCTGAAATCATAAAAGGAAACACAGCATATGTTTAAACTACACTTTTTATTTCATTTGTATCATTTCATAAGATATTTGCAAGAGGAAAAAAAAACGTAATTTATTTGAAAACAACTGTAGACATTCTGTTGACGTTTCATTTTAAAGATCCTGTGCTGACATTTGTTTTTACATCAGAACCTTTAAAAAAAAGTAAATCCATCATTAAGTCCAGCCTCAGCTACTAACACGCCTTGAACTCTCACAGTAGATTCAACGTGTGCATGTTTTTTTTTATATATATATAGTGCAGCTTCTCACTTTGTCTTTTTCTTTACTCTTGTCTTTTCTTATACATGTTCTTTATTTTTTTCACTCTTTTTATCTAGATGCTCCCACTACTACCCCCACACCCACCACCAACCCAGTCAGCACGCAAGGTACTGTATCCCCCACTGCTGTCCCTCTAAACTTCCATGCGCGAGTGTGTGTGTGTGAGCTTGCATGCATGCGCAATGAGGAAGAGTTTGGAGAAGAAAAAACGAGGGATTGCACCTACAGTAGTCCCTCGATTATCACGGGGGTTACGTTCCGGACAACATAAGTGAAAAACCGCAAAGTAGAAATGCTATATTCATTTTATGTATTTATACATAATTTAAGGCTTTATAAACCCTTCCCACACTCTTGCAATGTTCTAAACTCTTAAACCTATAACATTTTAACAACATACTTATATGTACTGTACAGCAGCTACTGCAAAATTTCATATAGGTACTGTACTCCTCAGCCTTGGTCCGGTTCTGGTCGGGTTCTGTCGGCTCTCTGCAGCCGTTGAGCACCAGACGCTTTTGGAGAGAGCCGGACCTTCGGAGAGCCAGCACAAAACCAGACAATGGTCCAGATCGAGCTCAAATAATCCAGAGGAATCTGGATGAAAAATGTCCGGGTGAGCTCCAGAGAAGACACCGGACCTCCAAGCAGCGCCTCCCCACTGGAGAGGCTCCCTGGGCCGACAAGCAGCACTCAGATTGACCGATGAGGCTGGAAGTAGTTCTGGTCTGGTTCTGGTCCAGTTCTGATCATCTCTCTGCAGCCACTGAGCGCCGAAGTCACCATGAATACAGACCAAACTTTTAGTCAGGTCTGGATCAGATTAAAACTTTCACTCCATTTCTTTTCGGCAGAAAGCAGCGGCTGGAAGCACTGTTGGTTTCTGGGTAATGTAGTTCTTTTGGACTGGCAATACAGTATAGGCTTATTGAAAGAAAACTACAACATGGTGGCGCCTGTCTGAAATATATATTTTTTATATTAACTTTTTATTCTGTACCATCCGAATCACGTGAATAATATTAAAGTTGACAATAGTTGAAAAACTGCAAAAGAGCGAATCCGCGTAAGTCGAACCGCGAAGTAGCGAGGGACTACTGTACAGTGAAGAGTTTAAATAAGATGGTGCTGTTGATAGCCAGAGCCTGGATGTCAGAGACGTCTGCCACAACATTTTTCCCCCTCCATGTTTGATCGGAGTAAAATTTGAGACACAGCTTTTTCTTTTTCTCTGCTTCTCCAGTGAAATCTCAGCTGCTCCATCCGTCATATCATAATGGCCTTTAGATCTCCTCTACAAATGCCACTCACAATTTGTCTTTGCGATCGCTGCAAAACATCAATAACTATTTTCACCCCGACGTAGGGACTGAATGAAACGGTAGTTCGTTTGCAGCAGTTCAGTACATCAACCTTTTGGCACTGTTTCATTCTTGGAGTTACCTCTGCTGCAAACAATTATTCCAACATTAACAATCCTTTTAAAAATAGTTATTATTTCAAAAGCAGCTTTAAAAAAGAGACAGATGGCGAGGCAACCTTGGGAGTTGACATTTGGATATGCCAGAATGTGACATTTTAATACAAAAAAAATAAAAATATTTAAAGAATAGATCGGTTTATCAATGGCCGCTTTAAAGATCCAGCAATTTCTCTCTTTTGTCACGGGCACTCTGCAATTCATAAAGTCATAAAAATCTGGGGCATCAATAACAAGTTTAAACTCAAAAGTGTATCAAAACCTTAAATATTCATGAGACAGCCTTCAGATAACATTCATTTATTCACTCATTTCATCAAATAACTGACATTTTAGAGGTATTTTTGCGCATTGTGAATTTTTTTTATACTAAAAATAGGGACCTATTTGTGAAATCGTCTCTTTAAGTCGTCCTCCAGGGTGACACGGCTCTTTCCAGTTGCATTTGAACAAACGTTTCTTTAGAAACTTCCCTCTAAGCCCGCTTTTCTCTGCTTCATCTAGCAGATCTGCAGCGCTGTTCGTCAGTGAGCGCGCTGCACGCTTAAAGCCTCGTTCAGCTCCCCGACTTCCTCTGGGTGTGGCAGAGTTGAGCAGGAAGTCGCTTTGCACGTCTATGCATTACTCTGCAGTTTTTCATAAGCTCTTTTCCTCCGAGTCGCCCAGATGCAGCCGCGTCTTTGTGCTGTAACATTCCAGTAATTTCCAAAAGACAGGCCTGAAAGAGGATTTACTGTGATTTATGTGAAACACGCTGGGAGGATGTAATTGAGCTTTCTTGCACTTCAGTACTTCCTAAATACCCTGTCACAGGGCAATTCTGAGCAGGCTTGTGGTGGATTGCTTTGCACTACCTTAATTACCATAACCACACAGTGTAGCATTTTCCTTTTGCCAGAAAATAAACAGAATAATACGCTACTTATGCACTGTAGAATGTTCCTGGGAATGGCCTCTGTCACCACCAGTTAAGATGTAGTCATCAGAAGTCACCCAACTTCATCATCACCCTGATTAAAAAAAAAAACAATTTTGTATATGCACATAGGTGATGCTTATAGTTCAAGTTAATGTGTTTTTTTAATCGTGAAAAGGCAGAATGAAAACTGCCATGAAAATGAAAAGGCTACTACGTTTCACCTCAGTAGACTGAGTCACCACCGATGTCCACAAATTACATTTTAAAAGGAACAATTAGAATGTTTTGGAGTGCGTTTCTGTGAAGTGGGTATGAGTGGCAAGCATCTTACCTGCAGCAGACAGTTTCAGTTTAAAGAATAAAGAAGAATGTTCTCAAATCTGTATTTGAAGTGCATGGGTCAGTGAACCATCTGAATTTTGGTGAGAGACTTTGTGTGAGGAGTGGCACGGTGGCTCAGTTGGTATAGAGCTGTTGCCTCTCAGCGAGAAGGTTGTCGGATCGAATCCCAGTCGGGGAATCGTTCTGAATGGGGTTTGCATGTTCTCTCCATGCATGTGTGGGTTTTCTCTGGATACTCTGGTTTCCTCCCACAGACCAAAACCATGCATGTTAGGTTGATTGGTAACTCATTCAGAGCTATTCAACTAAATTGCTGAGGGGACCACAGTTACTGAAACCCAAGGGTTCAGAGGCCGGCCATACAGCAGTTATTGTCATTAAGTAATAAGTTTGTTTTATGGTTTAAAATCTAGTTTTATTTTCAAAATGAGCCCATAGGTGGGCCGAACTGAGTTTATCCTTGGGCCTGATTTGGCCCCTGAGCCGCAAGTTGAATAGCTTTGCTCCAAATTGTCCCTAGGTGTGAGTGAGAGTGTGAGAGTTTGTCTTGGTTGTCTCTGTGTCCCTGTGATGGACTGGAGACCTGTCCAGGGTGTCCCCCACCTCTCACACAGTGACTGATGGATATGAGCACCAGTGACCCCCGTGACCCAACAAGGAAGAAGTGGGTAAAGAGGATGGATGGATGGATGGATGGATGGATGGATGGATGGATGGATGGATGGAATTTCAGTGACCCTTAACACCTGTATAAGAATAAGTAATATATGCAATGAAATGCATACAAGCAGTACATGTTATTGTCTCTTTATATTGGGCATTAAAAGTGTTTTTCACACTGTGTATAATTGCAGTTGTGACATATTACTTCACTGGCCACGTTTTGTCTTGTATTTCAAGTGTAGTGATAAAAAAAAAAAGACCTTTTTCACTGCTCACGTCTTTTATTCTATAAGGAAATGCACAAAATTTGTGAATGATCAACAGTAATTTGACAATTTTTTAATCAAACGAACGTTATTAATCTTACAAATGTTATCAATCAAAACAAAGTCACGATTTGTTTAAAAACAAAGATATATAAAAGTACTTTGTTTAAGATGGTAACATTTTGTGGACAAATACTGACTACAATAGCGGTGCAGGTTTATATACCAGATTTTCCTATCTAAATATTAGAATTTCAACATTTGAAGAACTAATGAAAGCTGTTTTTGTTTTCCAGTAATTCTCTGTGTATTTAGACATTCATGTCCTCTGGCACCCATCAAGGTGTGTGACAGCACCCTCTGCACCCATATTTCTCATAGCCTTGCATACAGATGTTAAACAAAGAGCTATTATACAAAATGCCTATTTAGGAGTACATTTCAGGCATCTAAAACTACTCAAATCTCAAAAGCCAGTCAAGAGAATGTTTATTAAGACATTTTATTTGCATTAAAATGACTATTTACATCAACACTTTGAGGTCTTTATGCTGAAGAGTGACCATGTAGGAAAGAGGTCCATGTTCGTTCACAGCAAGAGGTTTGAGCTGTTTTAAATGTTGTTGATTGGATCCTTTTGTAACTAGCCTTCAGTTTGACTCATGAGAGTTTCTCAGATTATCTGAACTGAAATTGCTCTGAAACCAGATACCATACCATACCATACCACTTTATTTATAGAGCACTTAAAACAGCGACAAGGCCAACCAAAGTGCTGTACAGACAAAACAACAAGTAACACACAAAGCAAAATACAAAATGAGGTAAATCAGAATATAGACATAAAAACGATGCAGATAATGACGACAAACCAGTGTGGAGCATACAGGATCAAAACACAGATCATCTGGTGTTGAAAGCTACTGAATAGTAGTGAGTTTTTAAACGGGACTTGAAAACCGAGAGGGAGGGGGCCTGTCTGACAAGCAGAGGTAACTCGTTCCAGAGTCTTGATCCTGCTACAGAGAAGGCCCTGTCACCTCTGCGCTTAAGACGAGTTCCTGGAACTGTGAGGAGCAACTGGTCCGCTGACCTCAGGGAATGTGGTGGGACATATGGTTGTAGCAGATCAGAGAGATTGGGGGGGGGGGGGGGGGGCAAAACTGTTCAGTGATTTGTAGACATACATGAGTATTTTGAACTGAATTTGAAAGTGAACCGGTAACCAGTACAGGGAGGCCAAAACTGGTGTAATGTGCTCTCTTTTGCCTGTACTGGTTAAAAATCAGGCTGCTGCTTTCTGGACCAGTTGTAGTCGTGCAATGGAGGTCTGACTGATACCAAACAGGAGTGAATTGCAGTAATCAAGCCTAGATGTAATGAATGCATGTATTACTGTCTCCAGGTTATTTTTGGACAATATGGGCTTCAGTTTAG